AATATGTTATGTAAAAAAGTATTCTATTTATATAAAAAAGGAAGACTTTTGTTTCTATCAATTTTACTGAACCCTTTTGAGTTCCACAGATACGTATAGATTATAACTTCCGTGAGGCATACTACTCCGATTGCTTACCATCAGGTGATCCATCTGCCCGTTTACCGGCTTATTTCATAAAAAAGAAGCATAGTATACACCATATCACTAAGTCAATAAGTATAAAGTGACTTACCTCATCCCATCCCAACAAGCCAGTCTAACATCGGCGTCGTCATGTAGTATGAGTAGGCCGGGGCGAGCTAGATCGTGTGCGTCGGCGCTAGAGGCCGGCCACAGCGCGGCGCGGTGTCGGTGCGCCCACAGGTCGCGCGCCAGGCCGGCGCGGCGCCCCGCCGCCTGCCCCGCGCGCCCACCGCCCGCCGCGCCCCATACACACACGCATATTAGACCCATCTGGGGATATAACAATGGTGATTATTTGAAATGGGAATCAAGATTATGATGATAATTAAGTAAATTAATAAGTAAACATGTACAAATATTTAGTTCAGAGTTAAAAATGTAATCATTTGTTCAGAAAAGGCCCTTTTTAAAGTGAAAAAATTTTAATGTCCATTCTGCCTCAGTTAATTTCTTTGTGAATTTATAAGCAGAGTGTGTTAAATTTAAGGTGACTAGAGACTCGCTGGTGCAATATTCTAAAATAAAAAAATATGATTCGAGACCCTTTTCTAGTATTTTGTCATAGCCTTTAAGCAATGCTGCTCTTGAAGCTGCTCTTAAAAAAATCACCAATAATAAACTATAATATTTCACGATACCAAAATATAATGACGTTGTTTTTAGAATTGATATCTACTGAGAATGCCGTCCTAAAACACATTGCAATATCGTTACAATAAAACACAAAATTAAAAACCACTATCAATACGTACCTCAACATTAGGCTGCTGCACCGGTGTCTCAGCGTCCAACTTTTTCAAGATGGCCGCCATGCGTTCCAAGGACATGGAGAACCCGACTGAACTTGATCTTAGTTCAGTACTATCGTGATCTTTTTCTGTTGACGCTACTTTCCAGAATTCAGCTACTAAGGCATCATATCTAAAAGAAAGACAGGTAATAAGCATTTTGAAGATTTGGTGATGGCGCTAGTGTCGTTTAAAATCGACTAGGGACTGGCAAAGTTAGTCATCATCAATACCATCAACAGCCTATAAATGCTACTGCTAAGCAAAGCCTCTTCTCAAACGGAGGTTTGAGCGCATTAATCGCACGCGCGCCAAAAAAATAGGAGCCGACAAGTAGCGTAAGCATGGTCCAAGCTACCGGTGGTTAGGGCTCTAGAGACAGAAACCTCCTCACTAAACGCGCCGTTTTTAGGAGAACTGCCTTTTGTATCAGGCCCTTGATTATTATTATTATAATTTTTTTTAGGTGTAATATTTTACGTTATATATATATTTAATTTAAATTGTTATCAATAAATAAATTTTTATTATGAAAATCTAAGATATTCTTAACTCACCTCCCTCCCGCTGCAACGAGGTCCCCAGCCCGATGTTTTGGAGTGACAAGCTTATTTTCCGTATTCCGTATGACAGACATTTGCCAGAATATTCCAGAATGTTGCGTCGCGTTGTAGGCCAGGAATGGAGCCACTGTTATAGGGCACTGTGAAAGGAAATACAATATTATTGTCCTATGTATACGCTAAAAATCTAAATTAGTCTTCTATCAATAATTGACCGCGCGGTTGGTGCGGTGGCTGGGCAACAACTGGCTGCCGTGCAGCGTGTTGCGGGTTCAATTCTCGCACGGAAGAACACTTAGTGTGATCCACTAATTGTTATACCGTTTGGGGATATTTAAATCCCCAAACGGTCAGCATCGTACTTGTATCATCACTGGTAATGCGGGTGTCTAAAGACGGCGCCGATTGCTTAGCATTCATATTCTATGAAAAATACATATAGGTAGGTACTAGGTAGAGACTATAGAACGCCAATTGAAGAGGTTGTCCTACGATTCTTACATACCTCTTTCGCTTCATCAACAGTCATCAATCTTTTCATGCAAGCTCGTCGGTTAAGGGTACTTTTGATTTGGCCCTTCGTAAATATATAGCCTTCTATAAAAAAGTAACTCTCCCACACTTAAAAATTGTGTTTTTAAATGTGAGAGAGTTAGAGCCATGCTTCGGCACGAATGGGCCGGCTCGACCGGAGTGATACCACGGCCTCAGAGAAAACCGACGTGAAACAACGCTTGCGTTGTGTGTTGTCGTATGAGTGAGGTTACCGGCCCAATGACACCCCCTCTCCAGTCTGGGGAGACTGCAGAGGGGGCGTATTTGGGCTTTCCCCACAATCCTCAAATTCCCAATTCCCAAAAGGCCGATTGCTTACGATCAGGTGATCCGTCTGCTCGTTTACAAGCTTATACCATAAAAAAGATAGCACATATAAGATACGAACCTCACACCCCAACGCCTTAGCGTTTCTATACACAGCTTCCAAATCATGTACAGCTTGCGACACGACCTTGCTCCACTTAGCGTGTTTGACGTACGGTATGACTAGCTCTCTCACTTCATGTATTGGTACGTCAGCGTCCATTAAACGGACGAGGTTCGAAACATCTTTATTTGTTATGCAAAGGGATGTTAAGTGGGTTTGCAGTTGTAGGCTTGTTATGCGACCTGTTGGAGAATCATTTGTTATTATTATATGTAGGTACAGTGTACACCTCGTATTTATTAATTTATTTAACAAATTAATTAAAAATCGCGGGTTACTCACGGCGATGTCGCGCAGCCTACTGTAGGCTCGCCGCGACCGCGCACGCTGCTCATGAGGAAGAACCCCTCTGTAGTTCGAAACTAGTAGTGCTTTTCTCAGTATAAGCGTGGGAGAGCCATGCTTCGGCATGATTGGGCCGGCTCGACCGGAGTGCTACCACGGCCTCACAGACCGACGTGAAACAACGTTGCGTTGTGTTTCGTCGTGTAAGTGAGCTCACCGGAGGCCCAATTTCCCTCCCCTTCCCCAATCTCCCCAATCCCTGAATCCCCAACGATACTCAAACTTCTAATCCCCGAAAAGCCGGTAACGCACTTGTAACGCCTCTGGTGTTCCAGGTGTCCATGGGCGACGCCGATTGCTCACCATCAGGTGATTCGTCTGTTCGTTTACCGGCTTATCCCATAAAAAAAATATTCACCAGCGATTTTCAGTTAATTTAGTATGTCTCGCGATAGTTATTATAAAAACTTGGTAAACAAGCTAATAGGGGAGTCCACGATACTAAATTGAGATTTACTCGATCGTCGTAGGAACCTGCGCATGTCAGATATTGATAGTGTACATGCTCCTTGTGTCTCTGATAATGAAAAACTCTTAATCTCAGTATACAAAATGTAACGTAATTAACACACACCCTCAAACACCCCAAGTAGAATATTATCTTATAATCATAATACATACACAAAATTTTTAATTTAACATGTATATGCATCCTTACTGGTCTTGTCATAAGGTTTATTTTGTATTGAATGATGGAATTTGTATGAATACAAATAAAACTGCGATTTTAAAAGTCTTATTGCTTTGACTTACGGTCCATTTCGATTTGATTTAACAATACAGGATTAATATGACAATAATTTCAGTAGTTTTAATTATTTTTGGGATAAAAAATTACCTACCTATACTAAAAATTATATAAATCGATTCAGTTAACGATTCTGAACAAACTTTTTTCAGGATGTGCGTTATTTAAGTTACATGGTGTATACACGTGGGTAACCCGCGATTTAGTTAATTTATCTCCAACAAAAACACGAATAATGAAATTTTTGTTTCATATTTTAAACACTTACCAAAACTAACATCAACGAGTACAGGATATATGTCGGCGTGTTTGTCCATGGGTACCCCGCAGGACAGTAGTAGAGTGCGCAGTAACTCTGTGTGGTTCAGCTGTAGAGACACCTTGAGACCACTCTCTGACGCTGCCCTACTGGCCACTACCAGCAGCTCGGAGTCTGGCCATAGCGAGTCTATAATATAAGACGTTTATTTATACGAATAAATTGTATAATTGGAAATTCTTTCGTTGAGAGGTAAGGGGGATGTTGACGCCTAACCCTACGTCGAGAGCGGGGGGTCTGCTCGCCTCCCCCCCTCCTCGTCACAGAGTGTATATATGGGAGTGCGCCGGATCATTAAAACCATCGATCGACCACTAGTTTTGTATTCAGTCCGCTCATAAGGACAAGTAATATTGTAAAAAGTTTAAAAGTAATGAATCAGTTAGTATATTGGCATCCAGGGTTTATTTTCAGCTCCGCACACAATACCTGACACACCACAGTATAAGCAGTATAACCTAGCCCTAGACAGGGGATAGGTGATAAAAGGTCAGCTGCAAGATGCAGGTCGCTTCTAACTGGTGGATCTACATGTCATTGGGTCTCCTTTGTTCAGCAGTTGGAGTTTTGTGCCTGATATTATGATAAAATAGGGTGAAGGACAAAATTTACTTATTTAAAAAATATACAGTCACAACGGTTAAAAAAACCAATTACATCACAACTAGACAGTCATAACATCACGCCTTTTATCACCGAAGGGGTAGGCAGAACTGCATATTATGCCACTGTACAATGTAAACCTAATTTTCACTATTTATGTTATGAGTCCCATGTAATAGGGGTGAGCTTATTGGCATAGACCGGGCACAATTCCAGACTTCATGCTACTAATGAGAATTTTTTAACTACAAAATTTAAAAAAAGATATTTTCGATTTCGGTACCGACTGTCGATCACGCCCAAAGCATTCTTTTAAATAAATATTCGATGTACAGTTTTCAGTTTCCTACGATTTTTTTATACCTATGTATTTTTTAAGGGGGGAAAATCATCGAATGAATTTGTTAGCTTTGCCTCCTATCTTGTTCTCTAAATGTTGTAATTTTTCTCTCTGAAGATGATCGTTGTGACGTCTAAGTATGACATTTTTAAATAAATAAGGAATTAGTTCAAAAACTTACCAGTCTTCGGCGAAACAATGTCGAAGGCACACTCAGTAATCTCTCTTGGGTGGAACCCTTGCACATGTTTCTCCCTGTACACCCGGTCCACGACATATCGCCGCATGTATCTTGTGCCATTGTAAGCTATATGTCTGTGGTAATAAGAGTTATATTAGCATTACAATAATGTCTAAAAGACCTAAAGGAAGTGGTACTTAATTTTAATCACAAGTTAATACTTTATCACTTTGCTATAAGGTTCATATTACATTATTTTAAGTAGTAGACGTACCGTAGTAACTCAAACTACTATTAGTCAAAATGTACTATTCAATTTTTAACTTTATTTTTACGATATAAAGTCGAATTAAATAAAAACATTAACAGATTAGAGTAGATCGAAGTCACTGCACATAACGGAGTCGAATTCAATGCCTCATAGTTAAAAACTATTTCTTTTTAAAGAAAAATAAACCCTATCACCGCCTCATATAGTTCAAATTACCACAACAAACACTTACCTAGCAAACGGCAGTCTCAAATCGTGAGGTAGATGAACGACGGAGCCTGATGACGTCATCACCTTCACAGCGTTGGGATGCTGGTCCCAGGCGGAGGCTCGAGGAATTAGAAGAGGAGGGGAGAATTCTGTAGCACCATGGCTTCGGAATACCTGTAAGAAAATTAAAATCCATACATTTTTTGTATGTTTTTGACAGTTCGAAAAAAGTATTGAATTTGACTAGTTGGCAAGTACCCAAATCTGTAACCATCATCTGTAGACTTAGTTGCAATAAACTCTTTGACTTAGACTTCTCTTGTTTTCATTGGGTACGGGGCCCGATATCCGATAAAGCCACGGGACCAGGGTGCTTACTCTTGAAATCAATCTCAATGTCAATGCAATTTCAATCCAATAAAATCTCAATGATTATACAATGTCAAAACTATACAACCACAATCGTACCTGTTAAAGTACCATTCAGAGTACGGAATATAAAGCCAAAGTCAATACATTTTAGTTCATTCAATATCCACGCAATACGGATGCAATGGGCGCTAGTGTTGCAACTCAAGAGTATGAAATTTCACAATCACAATGTCGATCGATCGGAATTGGATTCAAGAGTAAGCCACCTGAACTCTATAGTAACGCCACTGCATCACCTATAAAACTTCACGCTACAATCCATAGGATCCGAGCAGGGGTGAAATCACGCGGGAGTATATTTAGTAATTCAGTAATCGGGTTCTGCTTACCGCTTTGGTTATTAACTGGCTTGATGTTATGTAAAATAACAACTAATAAAATGTCGTACTCCTTCTTGATAGTTATAAAATATTTTAACTGACATTAAAATGACAATGATATAATTGAACAATTATTATTTTAAATAAAATAAATAATTAACACCATTGTGTTGTGTATACATTTAAATTAGCTTCATTACAAATATTTTACTATTGAGAAGAGAAAATTTTGTTTAAAAAAGCTAATATTACTTTGCGCAACCCAGCTTGAACACAAGCCGCGCGCTTAAACGTCGCTCTTATGAATCAATGCATTAAAGTGGCAATGTCAATTACTTTTTTATATTAATCAAAATCTTATACGTGTTTCACAACTTTTCCTATTAACCTACTTTCATTTCACTAATTTACCAAGAAATGTTTATCAATAAAATAAATAAAACAATAATTTAACATTAATATCCCAAATAATGTATAACTAAACGCATTTATTACTAAAATAAAGTAAAAAACAAATATTACAATTAACAAAAAGAATCGACGAGGATGGGATTCGAACCCACGCGTGCAGAGCACATTGGATTAGCAGTCCAACGCCTTAACCACTCGGCCACCTCGTCATGTCCAATAGATGGCGAAATTAAAGGTTAGACTGCACATGACAAAATTATTATTGAATTTCTGAAAGACTTGATAATTTATATTTCATGAAAACATACTCGAAAATTTTTTATCACATATTTTAGTTTGAAAAAATATACAACTATAATTTTAAGTGAATGTAAATGAAAACAGTATCGTGGCGTGACTGATATCAACAAATTGGGATAAGCAGAACTGTCCTAAAAGTGCACAATTTTCAAAGTTTACGTTGCCATACTATTTTAGACGAAGAATTTCAGTTTTTCTGGTACTACCTACATTATTAAAGAAGAGCCAAATTAAAAGTACCCTTAACCAACGAGCATGCATGAAAAGATTGACTTTTGATGAAGCGAAAGAGATATGTAGGGAACGTAGTAATTGGCGTTCCATGGTCTCTGCCTACCCCCATGGGAGACAGGCGTGAAGTTATGTATGTATGTATGTATACTGTATAAGCACAGATCATCGATCGTGAACATTGCACTTAGTTATTAAAATTTAATGGATAAGTATTAAAAACGCTTACGATTACAGATAACATAATTTTAGACCAAACGTTTTTTAGACCACATAACTATTTGCCGAGGAGCCCCATGAGAGGCTCATATTCATGATGCATCTAGCATGGCTTGAAACTAGTCGAGTTCCTCGTCAAACAGTTACGTGGTTTAGCCGAAAACATAATAATTAATTTAGTATATTCTCATTTAAGAAAATATAAACATAAAAAAACAAGTTGTAAACATTCGTGATTGGGAAACTCACAGGTATGAGTGGGATTGTTATGAGAAAATTGGTTTATAAACGCCCATACAACACTATGACACAATGGGGAACTTGCCTTCATCAAAAACAAATAATTTTGACTGTTCAATACACTAAGATATTAAAAAATAATCACACTTTCATTAATTGATTTTATGACCAACTTAATTAATAGTATTTTTCCAGCAATAAGTATGCTGTTTATCGCTAAAAAACGTGACGTCACAATATACACACGTGACGTGACGTACAAACTCGTACAAAATTCATAGAAAACTGTCGTTTATGACAGTTCGAAAAAAGTATTGAGTTTGAATAGTTGGCAATTACCTAATTACGAGAAAACACATTGGGGACAAAATTGGAACGTATTTGCTTAGCATATTTATGGTAATCTGTGACAACGTAGTATAGAATCAGTAGTAGCACGGAGTCTGGAAATGTGCCTGGTATATGGCAATAGGCTCACCCCTATTACATGGAACTCACAATATGAAGAGTGAAAAGTGGGTGTTACTTCTGTGTGCACCGCTGCCTACCCCTTCGGGGATAAAAGGCGTGATGTTATGTTATGATTAAGTGACAACGTAGTAAGTAGTGTATTTGTTAAATCTATTATTTTAATACTGCATTCATGTGTTATGTTTATTATACAGGTATTTGTTGTTAATAAAATGAAAGCCCCTGAATCCCCAACGATCCTCAAACTCGTAATCCCCAAAGTTGGTAACGCACTTGTAACGCCTCTGGTATTCCAGGTGTCCATGGGCGACGCCGATTGCTTGCCATCAGGTGATCTGTCAGCTCGTTTACCAGCTTATGCTGTAAAAAAAATCAATTAAACCTCAGCATACCTTAATAACAGCATCCTTGATCTGCTGCAACAACTCCTGTGGCTTGGTCTTCATATCATTATGATACGTATAGTCCTCGGCGGCCGACGGTCTCTGGTCTAGACAGGCGGCGACAAGCCTGGTATACCCTCGCGCCATTCTATCGCTTAATGCGTGGGATAGCAACCCCGCTAGCGCGCCTTCAGGCACCGCGCGAGGCACGTGGGAACTGCCCAGTAATTCTGCGCAAGTAGGACGTAAACTCGGTTCGTGGTTTAGTAGCCACCTGGAATAATAATTAGGTCAAAACTAATAATCTTTTCTGTAAGTCGGTTAAATTTTGGATGAGACCAAGGCTTGACATTTTACGAATGGGTGTGTAAAATTGGTTTTTATATCGATTTTTTAACACTTTAATGCACACAAGGTAAGGTACATAAGGCGGACTTAATGCCATATGGTATTTTCTCCCAGTCAACCTTTGGGTTAAATATAGTGTCAGCGAAATTATGTTATTTTCACATTTTTTTCTTATATTGTCGTAGGGGGCTTGAAATGTAACACCGATATTTGTCAGTTCCTTTATAAATAATATTACAAATTTTAGTAATATAACTAGACCAGTCTAGTTGAAGGAAATAATTTATAATAATAGTATATAGACACTAGCTATATAGCTGGCTATCTAGCTATAGAAAAAAGGTACATCTTGATTAACAGGAGACCAGCAATCTCTCTAGCAGTGAAAATGAAGTAAAAATATTTGTATAGAGATAAATTCAATCATATATTTTTTTTAAAGTAACGAATGGAGTTTCTTGCTCGTTCTTCTCCATTCCAATCTATATTATGGAATGAGCACCTAGCTTCACTGACAGACTGACAGACTATTATTTATTTTGTATTTGCCGATGTTTCAAAAGTACCAAATTATGGTTTAATTGAAATAAATGCTTTGACTATGACTTTGAATAATTTTTAAAATTCTTATTAGCAATTACCTTATAACATGAATCTGCCGAGCATTCTCCTCTTTCTCAAAACCTTTGGGCATTATAATGTCTTTGCTCCTCAAATTGGTTAGGACCAACATCCTCTCCATCCCAGTGTCTAGCGGTGGATGAAACATCTCAAAGAGGATGATGCCCAGGGAGTATATGTCCACTTTCTGGTTGTATATAACTTTGGCACTGGATTGGAGGAGTTCTGGAGCCACGTAAAGAGCTGTGCCGATCTGGAATGTGGGAAAAATTATATAATT